GCTGTGCATCTCAGTAACTGCGCCTGGGGGATACAGGAAGCAATCTTCATCTTTACTCATTTGGTATGATGTACAACAAGTTGTGTGCATCTGTGTAGAAGTGTCAAACTGGGATCTTCACCCACATATTGCTCTGTAACAGGTTTTGTGTATGTTTACCTGAGCATCACAGGGGGTAAAATACACCCACACCACGCTTCTGTAAACATATATTTTACCATAAATGGAATGTAGGTGTGACTCACAGTAGCTGTGCCTGGGAAAAGCAAGACCCCATCTATGCATTTACCCACCTGGCAGATGAATGCACAGTGTGTACAGGAGATCCAAAGCAACAAGTGAGTTTTACCCATGAAATGTCCATTGCTAAATTTCTGTGCATTTAAGATTTGTTTTTAAAGAGTTTTCTTTTGAATTTTCTGGTAGAAGTATCCCAGTTCAGTACAATGGCACATGAAAAGCCAGATTTGCAAGTTTTGGAGGAAGTCAAAAGTGAATCATCAGATCATTCATGCATAGATGATGAAGGTGAAAATTACTTCGATGTTGGCCATGTGAGCCAAAGTTCCTGCAACAATAAAATGAAGCAAGAATCAACCAGTACAGACACAAAGAATGCTGACCTCCTTGATTCAGATGACAAAGAAAACAGCACTACCAGTACATACTTAACTAGTAAAAATTGAACAAAATTGTCACACAACCAATCCAGTGATAGAATGAGGTCCAAAAATAGAATGAGGCACTTGGAAGGGGTGAAAACTATTGGATGAAATGCCAATATTACCATTCAGTGTTGGAAATTGTTTGTAACAGATGAAATGCCACAAGATGTTGTGAAATACGCAAATGCTGAAATGTAAATCAAATGTTTTGTATGCACCAATAGCCATATAAAAATGTGTTAATATGACACCTCACTAGCTGAACTGAAAGCGTTCAGAGGTCTGCTGTACTTACCAGGGCTTTCCATTGGTAATCACAGGAGCGTAAAAGACTTATGGAAAAGTGATGTGTATGGGCTTGAAGTTTGTAGAGTAGCAATGACACTGAGGAGACCTGGTTTCCTTCAAAATTGCCTGAGGTTTGATGATGAAACCAAGAAAGAAAAAGAACTGATAATCTGGCTGCTATCTGCCCATGGTTTGAAAGATTTGTGGGTAATTGTGAAGCAATTTACACATCATGTGAATACATGACTTTTTTTTTTTTTTTTGTCTTCTTGAGACAGGGTCTCACTATGCAGCTCAAGCTGGACTTGAGCTCACTTTGTAGTCCACGCTGGTCTCGAACTTGCAATGATCCTCCTACCTCAGCCTCCCGAGTGCTGGGATTACAGGCGTGTGCTACCATGCCCAGCTGAGTACACGACTATTGATGGATATCTTGCAATATTTCATCGTCACTGCAACTTCAGGCAGTATATTCCCCAAAAACTTTCAAAATATGGCATACAATTATATACCCTTGTAGATACAAAGACTTGTTAGGCTTTCAATTTAAAAATGTATCCTGCAACTCAGCCACCAGGTCCTTATTTATATAGTAATAAACCAAATGCTGTTTTGAACAGACTTGTTGCTCCCATCTCAACTATCCAGAATTTAACATTTGACAATTGGTTTTCCAGTTTTCAGTTGATGTTACATTTGCAAACAGAGCACAAGTGGACCAATATAGGAACTGTACAGAGGAACAAAGCAGAAATTCCAATTGAAATGTTGCAGTTTCAGAACAGAGAATTGTATAGTACAATGTTTGGATTTCAGAAAGATATAACATTGGCCTTGTATATGGCAAAGAAAAACAAACTGGTAGTGCTGATGTCAGCATTGCACCATGATGAAAATATGGATAAGGAAAGGTCAACAAAACAGAAGATAGGGGCTGGGGATTTAGCTCAGCGACAAAGCGCCTGCCTGGCAAGTGCAAGGTCGTGAGTTCAGTTCCCAGTACCGGAGAAAAAACCAAAAAAAAAAAAAACCAGAAGATGGAGGTGATAACTCTCTGTAACAAAACCAAAGGAAGAGAGGATGTTGTTAAGTTATGCAGCAACTGTGACACATCCAATGGATGTGTTTTACTCAATCCTAAACATGTGTGACATAAATAGTTTGATAGTTTACAAAGAAAATAACAACTGCAAAATATCATGGAGAAATTGTCTTAGAAGGTTGGGACTGGAACTCATAAGAGATCATTTACAGCAGAGGAGAAACAGAATGTCTCTGCCCAGGAAGCTACACAAAAAAATTATGGAGCACACCAGTGAGCTGACAGGTGAACAGGCAGGTTCAGCGTCACAAAGACCTACCACAACAGGAAAACCAAAAAGATGTGCCCTACAGGAAAGGACAGAAAAACAAAATGTATGTGCTGTCAGGGTAAGCAATACTTCTGTCTGGAACATGAAGTTCCCATGTGTGAAGACTGCCTTGGGTGTGACAGTTGAAGCACAGCTTATTTCTGTGGTGCATTTTGTTTATATTTACACTGTAGCTCAGACAGGTTTTTATTTCTGATGTTTCTTTTAGGTTTTGAAAGCAAGTAAATTGTTGGTGTGAAAATGTTGATGTCTATTCTAAGCATTCATTACATATTTGATATTCTGCTATGTGCACATTAGGAAGCTTCCGACAAAACAGCAAGAAAAGAGAGGTGACAAGAATGGCCTGCTACACAGGAAAGGAAAGCCAAGCCCATGTGCTGTCGGTGTAAGTGAGACGTATGCATGGAGCATGCAGTTGTCATGTGTGAAGACTGCCCTTGAGTGCATCAGCTGAAGCAAAGATTATTTTTGTTGTAGAGCTCTATTGTATTTTCACTGTATTTCATATAGAAATTTATTTCTGATGTTATGTTTTAGGTTTTGTAAGTAAGTACACAGCTGATGTGAAAATGTTCATGGTTATTCTAAATACACAACACATATGATTAATTTAATAGTTTATTTTATTGGTATTTTGTGTTCCTGTTAACTACACATTGTATAATATGATAAGAAGCTCCTGACAAAGCAGCAAGACCAGCCAACTAGACATCAAGTAGGTCCTACAAAAGGCCAGGAATGCAAAACACACATGCTGTCAGTGTAAGCAATGTGTGTGTGTGGAATGTACTGTTGTCGTGTGTGAAAACTGCCTTAGATGTGATAATTGAAGCAGAGTTTGTAGAGTTGCATTGTTATTTTCATTGTAGTTCATATAGAAATTTGTGTTGTTATTTTTTAGACTTTGTACACAGAAAAGCAGTAAATGTTGAAAATTCTGATGCTTTTTATAAATGCTCAATGAATATTAAAAATTCAATGCTTTACTTATTTTTATTTTTTCCTGTTAAGTACTCATTGTTTAATATACTAAAACTGATAAAATTAAAATTAATAACTCATCAACAGAAATATTCTAAAGAATATACATGGGTATTATACACACACGATAATGTACATTTATGACAAAATTGGCCTTATGCTCCCTGTGCTACAGCAAAGAATTTTCTCTAGCTGGGAGCTGAAGATTATGTCCACTTGAAGCAGCCATCTGAGGTCCCTCTCCTGATGGCCTTGAAGGAAGGGGTAGCGTGTCGTGGCAGAAACCCTGTGACAGCAAACCGCCCCTGGTCAACACCCAGCACGAAGTCAAGGACCTCAGAACTGTGACCGCAAGGGACTCCATCCTGCTGAGAGCATGGATAGCACAAAAGAAGGCCCTGAGGTCTGGGGGCAGCGTGTGGCCCAGACTGGTCATCATGTGAGGCTATGCTTAAAGGACCCTGCTTCCCACTGGACCCTGATTCTTGGACGAGGCAAGATGCTTGTGCTGATTCAATCTCTGACTTTGTGATAACTTGTTACATAACAACTGGACACCAGCACAGTTCCTCGGTATCCACAGGAATCGATCCAGGGCCCACTTCAGATTCCAAAATCTTCAGATGTTCAGGTCCCACATGACACATCATTTGCTTAGAATCCATACACATCCTTTTGTGCACTTTAAACATGATGCTTAAAGCACCAGATACATTATAGATGCTAGTAAATAGTTGTATTACTGAATTGTTTAGGGAATAACAAGGAAAACCACCTGTACACGTTCAATACAGATGAGTTTTTTTCCCCCAAATGTTTTTGATGCAAAGTTGGTAGAGTTCATGCTACCCGAGGATATGGAGAGCCAGTGTACTTGGTGTCTTCTTTGGTGAATGTCTTACTTCTGCCCCTAGGGCAGACCCTGGTGAGGGTTTGAGCAGAAGGTGGAGAGGATGAACTCTGGGAAGTCGCAAAGGCTTGTGGGGAGTGGCACCTGGAGAAAGAAGGGAGCCCACAGTTGGCATCAAAGAGCAGGTTGCTGCTGTAGCCAGGGAGGACTCACCTCAGGGTACTTGTAAGAGGAATTTCTTATTGTGTCATTCGGACTGTAGTAGACTGTGATAGACACTTTCAGACAGGTTTTTCTTACCTAAGGAAAAGAAATTTCAATGTAGCAGTGACTGTCAGCCTCCCTGGGAGGGGGAAATGTTGGTCAGTGGTTATTAAGTTGTACTTCACAGGCAGGAAGGCTCTGGTCTGCACGTGCTCAGAACAAATAAGTGGTACACTTCACAGAGCCAGAAGAAAGGACTGCGAAAGCTTTCACTGTAAATAAATGATAAATGTTTGAGAAGGTAAATAAATATAACCCGATCTGAACATCATGGAGTGTACACATGTAACGAGCATTGCATGATATCCATTTTGCTGTCTTGTGTATCAGGCACAAGTTAAAAGTACACAAAGGAAGGGAGCCGGGAGGTGGAGTGGGAGGGAGGGAAAGGGGATGAAAATGCGTATGTGTAGGGACCAGCTCCCCACGGAGTGTGAGCCTGTACTGTGAACACGTATAAACACTAAAAATTAAAGACAATTTTAAACCAATTTTTAAAAATCTTAAAGGCTCAAACAACAAATTAACCAAGCTCTGGGATCATACTAAAGTAAAAAAGCAAGTTGGAGGAGAGGTTATGTTTAACAAGCCCTAAATGCCTCTAAAATGAAGGACAGAGCACTCTGTAGATGCTCTAATTAGGTACAATTAAGAGATCAGGCGAGGCACAGCACCAGCAGGAGGACAGGCTCTCGGCTATGTCCAAGTGCATTTCATAGCTGTGCTTCTGGCTCCGGCACCTTGAAGTGGTCACCTGTGCTCTCTGCTCCTTGGAAACCCCCTGTGCCTAGGACGCCTGTGGGAGGCGTGTCCTGCTCTTCATCCTCCGCAGCCAGGGCTGCCACAGCCTCTGCAGGCTGAAACCCATCTCGGAGCTGTGCAGAGCAGGGACCCGGCCCCGTGGGCGTGTGACTTTCGCCAGCACGGGACTTCCCTGGACAGTGTACCCCCGGCCTGAACCCTGAGAATGCGATGTGCAGGGCTGTTAGGAAGGCCCGTCACCTGGCCAGCTCCAGGGCCCGTGAAGACATACCGAACACAAAGTTGTCTGGCCTGAAGATCTGACCAAACGGGCCCGACCTCACTGAGTCCATCGTGCCCGGCTCCAGGTCCACCAGGATGGCCCGAGGTACGTACTTGTTACCTGTGGGAACAACAGCTGCCTCAGACCCGCGCTTGACCAAAAACGGAGGGCAGAGCCCTGTTCTGTGTGGCTGACAAGGCAGAACTCGTGACAGAAAAGTGCAGCGACAGAGGCACAGGGAGGAGAATGGACGCTGAGCACAAGTGGTCACGTCCACCGGGCCGGAGTCTGCAGCAACAGCGAGGTGGGGTTTTCTTACACTTGGCCTGTCTGAGGAACGTGCAAGACGCTTCTGTCACCTCCTCTGCCACAGGAAGGAGAGCAAGGTGACATCAGACACTCACCAGCAGCCTCATTGTAGTACACGTTGATTCTCTCCAGCTGCAAGTCGCTGTCTCCATGGTAACTGCCAGTGGGGGTCGATGCCATGCTCATCACTGATCACCTCCCAGAACTGCAAAGAGAAGGGAGTCGCATCCTGGCCCGGAGCCCTCCCTCAGGAGGGACGGCCGTGGTCAGACAGCGAGGCATCCTAGCCAGGAAGCGGAGAGCTGCTGGCCCCTAATTGTGCAGCAGCTGCTGCGGAGGGGCTGGGCATCTGCAGAGCTGCTGCCATATTGTGGCCACAGGCTGGAAGGCTGGGAGGGGCGGTGGAGGAGGGGGCGGCAGGCAGAGCCCCTCCAGGAAGCAGTGGGCGCAGGGGGCTCTGTCACTCCCCAGGGCCGAGTCCCGCTGCATCCAGGCACAGACCCCAAGCAGCCCTCCTCTGCACCGGTTGTGTCACAGATGGCATGTTGGCCTCCAGGCACTGAGTGTGGAAGAGGGGTGTGCTAAGGAGGGAAGGAACCTGGGAAGTGCTTGGGCAGTGGTGCAAGAAGGTGGCCATAGCAAGCGTGCCGATGCAGCAGTGAACTTGCAGCAGGGAAGGGGGCGGGCAGAAGTCCTTGTGTATGCGCCCAGCCGCGGCCATTCACCCTGTCTTCTGCTGTCTCCCCACTGCAGCCTGGAATTATAGACTCACCTGTCACCTGCCACCTCAGAGATGGAAACAGAGTCATCACATTTCGTGTCATCACGTCTATCCTGAACCTGTGTTAAAGAATTAATCTAAGACCCTATGTTCAAACGAAAATTCAGACCTAGGTGAGGAGAAAGTAAGTAAGAGGGCTGCTGCAGTCAGGAGAGTGCCCTGGTCTCAGCACTCTGCGAGCGACCAGCATCAAGCAGAGAAGGGTTTTCTCTAGCAGGGATTGATAAGCAGAGCTACAGGAATCTAAAGGGCAGGCAAGGCCAAGCAGGTAGTAAATCAGATCACTTCCCTGCGCACCCTGTTTGCTTCACTCAGCAATCTGGAGGTCAAGCTGTGAAGGGACACACAGCGCGTGTGAGTACTTGGGCATAAGCCAGGAGTTATGCTTTTATGATAAAAGTCATCATACAGCCAGGTGTGGTGGTACGTACTGTAATCCCAGAACTCTGGGAGGGGAAGGCAAGAGAATTGCAAGTTTGAGCTCAGCCTGGGAAATTTCAGAACTTATCAAAACTCAGAAAAAGGGAGTGGGGAGCCAGGTGTGGTGGAGCATGCCTGTAATCTCAGCACTTGGGAGGCTGAGGCAGGAGGATCGCCACAAGTTCAAAGCCAGACTGTGTAGGGAACTCAATTTTCTCTCCATGTATCCCAGGGAGGACTGGCAGTGGATATAAGAAAAATAAAAACAAGAGACAAACGCTGCAGTCAGGTGGAATAACCTCTTTACCTTGGAGGGCTAAAGGAACGACCAACAATAGCAGGGGCATTAATTTATACCCTTGCAAAATTAGTATCATGACAGGCAATGTTGCCTAGCGACTAACAATTTAAATTGTCCAGGCAAGATGTTTTTTTAAGACTGCGGTAGCTTGACTGCTTGAGGCACTCTGGCTCTGTCCTGCCCTCACACATAGGACCGGTTTTCAGCTCCAGCCGCTCCCAACAAGCCTGGACTATATCAAAAAACAAAAACGGGGTGGGGCTGGGATATAGCTCAATGTGAAGGGCTTGAGTTTTAAAAAAAGAAAAGGACAGATTCCAGTACAGTAGGGGCTTTGGCCCACACCATTTCTGATCTCTGGACTAAAGGCATTAGCCAATCTCTAGGAGGAGCTGGGGGAAAATTCAGCCCGGCAGGTGGTGTGGTGAAGCCCCAAGAGAAACCCTGGGCACAAGGGCTCAAGGGAGATTCGTGGGTGTAAAACTGTGTGTGTTTTCAGACCTCAGTGCCGTGGTGGGGAGGAGGCGTTAACGTTGTCCAGGACTGCACTGGAGGAGGACGGCTGGAAGTTGTGTTTGAACCCCTCTTGGACTCCACCTCACGTGGCTGATTTTAATCTGAATTCACTGCCTGGGATAAACCATAACCTTAAGCACAACTCTGAGCAAATTCTGTGACTCTTTCTAGCAAATTATTAAATGTGACAGTGGCTTTGAGAATCTCTCAATTTGCACTTGGCATCAGAAATGAGGTCAGTCTGTGTACCCTCTGAAATATCTCTGTTGACCCTAACTTACCCAGAAGATGAAATGGGTATCTACGTATGGAACATGGAAACCCCACCCCTCTAGCCTTCCATTCATCTTTTAAAATGCTGGCATCCAAGCAGGAGGAGCAGGGCATCAGTTTATCCTTTTGGCAATATGATCAGCTCAACTAGAAAGACCTAAAGCTCCAGATTTGGTGAGCACAGCTTTGCCGTTTGGTGGAGCAGTTTTTCTGTTCTGTGTCAGGTCATCTGGGGCTTGAGGTCCTGGCATAACCTTCCTGTCACGTCTGGCAGCCAGCTTGATGTGCACAGGGAAGACAGCCCCTGTGTTCATCCTCTACCAGCTTGAGCTATGCTTTTATGGCTCTCCGGTCACAGGAGACATGCAGTCCAATTTATAAAGGCCTTTTCTGCCTTTGCTTGGACATTTGCTAACATCGCATCTGCTAAGAGATAAGTAGGCACCACTTCTTGAGTGGTGGAGTAGTATAAGGTCACATTTCAAAGGAGTTCGTGTTACCTAACTTTCTCCAGAAATCAAACCAACGGAGCCTGGAATTTGAAGGGCAGAATGGTAGGCTGGAGACTCGGGTAAGATTCCTGCGCTACAACCTGGAAGGAGTTCTTTTTCAGGAAATGTCCGTTTTTGTTCTTAAGGTCTTCAGCTCTTTGGATGTGGTTCTTCTACATTTTGGAGAGTTATCTGTTTTAAAACAAGCTGATTGTAAATGTCAACTGTGTCTACAAAGTTCATTCACAGGAAAAAATAGACGACTGTTGGACAAAAAGCTAGGCACCATAGCCTCCTCAAGTTGACACACAGACTTTAACCAGGACAGAGTGGATATCAGGGTGGGAGGAATTGCTAGCTATCATTCAGTCTGCACACTGGCTCTTACCGTCCCCCAGAAAACAATCAGATAAATCACCCATAATTCAGTGACTCCCGCATAGTCAGAATAGTGTACCCAGGGACCAGAGACTCCTGTTCACTTCTTACCCTCTTTCTTAACAACGAACAGACAAACAAAAAGTCCTAGATACCTAAAGAAAACATGTCATTAAAAACAGAAACCACAGAGAGAAGGAGAGAAATGGGGAGAGAGAGAGAGAGAGAGAGAGAGAGAGAGAGAGAGAGAGAGAGAGAATGTAGAAAGAAGAAAATGTCTTAAAAATCCCACCAATCTCTAGTGAGTCCATGAAATAAAAATAGAATAATAGAAAACAATAAAATTTGGAGAATTAAGAACAAACATTCCTGGGACCTGTGAAATAGAAGAGCACAAATGAAAAAGTAGAGGAGCGACTGGACCGTAAATCAAGCAAATCTCCGAGAAGTACCGCGAGAAGAGGCGGGAGGACAAACAGCGGAGGATCTGCTGCAGGAACAGCCGGAAGATGAGACCCGACAGACGGGAACTCTGCAGAGGAGAAAGTCAGGGAAAAAAGCCCAAATCTGAAGAAACATGATCATCTAAATATATATCAAGACAAATGACTGAGGAACATGCATTTTCAAGTATCGCTTTGATGGTCTCTATTACCTCCTTATCTGAATGCATGATGTAGTTATTTTGAAATTAATTTCATTAAGTCAGTTCCTTGGGAAGCAGACTCAGATTTAAACAGGAAGTACGGTGGGACAAGGAGAAGGAGGGTTGGGGGAAGCCAAGAGCTGAACTTTTCAGTCCACACAAGAATCTCAGCTGATCCCAAGCGACGCTCTGGAGCCATGTGGGCGTGCACTGTTGTGCCCCGCCCCCCAGACCAGCCCTTCCAGGCAAGCCATTCCCAATGAATGGCTTTGGGGAAGTGGCTTTGGGGGAGCCCCTTCTCTTTAGCTGAAAGGAGCACCCTGAAAGCTGTCAATGGCCCTAGCACCCAGCAGCCGGTGAGATGAGAAACTCACTGCCCCCAAAGGGAGTCTGGGGTCCACGTAGCATTCCCTTTGTTAGTTAAACTGGAATTTTTTAGTTTTAACTGTAGCATACCTCTGACTACACTGCATGAGTTTAGTGGCAGTCTGTTTGCACATGGGGTATTCTCAGTGCCGTCCTTGACATGCCACAAGCTTGTGGCCCTCAGCCCTGACCAGGGGGCAGAGGCTGAGGGCAGCCACAGTTGTGCAGGACAGCCTGTAACAGGACTGTGGAGGCTCCAGTTTGAAGCGGGGACATTAAAAGGCCGCTGCTGCTGCCCAGGTCTCCCACCTGGAGTCCACCAGGAACGGTGCCGCCATATTGCCGATACCCTCTGTCATCCTCCACACCCATCTCTCATTGGGTCTGAACAAGAGGAGAGGAAAAGAGAGTGCTTTTTATGAAGACCTTAACCCCCACTGTGCACCTATGCTTATTTGAAGAGAATCTAAAGGAGTATTTTTAATGCACAGAAGTTATGAATTAGAAGTGTTTGCATCTTCAGTGATTTTTCAATTTACAGAAGACTGGTCACCTAGCACCCCATCATGAATTTTCCTTAGGTTTTAAAATTCATTCCACTTACAAAAATTGCATTAACTTCTCCTTCACTGCCCAAACCATTTCTGTCACTTCCTGTTTATCCAATGGCACCTAGGAAGTGCAGCACGTTGACAAGGCGGGTAGAAGAGAAGGGAGGAACCTCTGCCCTGTGCCTCCTAGATTCTGCAGCCAGCTATGATCACACACACACACACACACACACACACACACACACACACACACACGCATGCCTTTTCATATGTGAGGAAACCAGCCCAGGCGGGGTTCAGAAAATGTTTCCTGCTCACCCCCGACATCACACAGTGCCAGCAAAAAACCAGCCTTTGCATCTCCAGCATATTTTCTGGAGTTTCACATCCAAGCTGTTTCCTAGGCAACAAGCACCCAGCCTCCAAGACTGTCTGGGTGAAGAGGGAGGAAGGGGGAATGCAGCCAGCCTCTCCTCACCCCCATCTCCTGCTTTCACAGTGCTGTAGCCCTTTGTCGGGGCGTTAATGTGGCGAAAACAGAGAGCCCAAAAGCTGGTCTGTGGGATTCTGTTTCAAATGAGCTGTTTCCACTCTCTGAAGGGCCAGATTCATTGAGAACCTTGCCTGTCACAGCTCCGAGCCTGTTTCTATTTTTATTCACTCCCCTGCCGGTTCCCTTTTTCTCAGGCTTTTTGTTCAGGCAGCAAGGAAGAGTCCTTATTCACAGGAGCCAGGTCCTTTGAGAATGTCAGCATCTCCGCAGCCCCCTCCCATGGGAAAGGGCACTGCAGGGCCCTCGCCAGTCCCAGGACCTGTGTGTGACCAGGACAAGGACCAGTGGCCTATCTGCATGTCATATGCCTTGTTGTTCCAGCGCAGGGGCTTTGCTTATTGGGTTCCATTCTGCGGTGGTTACTGCTGACGGCCCTGGGACTGAAAGGATTTGCTGTCCTGGCCCAGCTGCGGGGACTGACTGGCTTAGATCTGGAGCCAGGTGAGAATGAGTCGCAGCCATCCACGCCCCCTCGCCTTTAACAGTTTGATCTCCGTCCGTCCAGAGCAATTCCTTTGCCCCTACTCAGAAGCTGAAATGCACTGTGCTCTTACAAGCAGCAACCTTCGACTATAAATATTAATGAAATTCAAGCTCGTGGGCATTGCTAAAAGCCATCTTTCTTGGTCACGTGATGCACACGCCTGAGTCGGAAATGTCTGTGCCGGTCCCATCACATCTTCACTTGTCATTTCAAGTAGCAAAGGTCAGCAGCAGCTCAAGGTCAGAACCTCACCTCGCTACACTGCCAGCGCCAAGGAGTGGCAGACAGCGGATGCCATTGTGGAGGGGTGAGGAGGCGTCTCGCTGCTGGGTCAAAGTGTCTGGCCCAGCCTCCAGACTTGATGATGCATTGAGTCAGGCTGTGTGCTCTGGAAAGGGCAGAGATGGGGCAGGGACAGGGCTTGGTGCCCAGGCAGTAGGGCGATGCCAACACATCCTCTCAGGACACCAGGGCTGGCAGCTGGACAGCAGGCAATCCTATTGAATACCATGATACATTTCTTGGGTGTGGTGGCGACAGTGTACTTACAGAAGCTAGTGTCTCTGTCCATAGGGTGTGCTGGAACATTTAGGGGTCAAGTGCTGTGATTCTATTATCTACTTTCAGATAATTAAAAAATATATATATAGTGAGAACACACACACCAGCACACACACCAGCACACACACCAGCACACAGGCAGAATGTTAGCAACTTGAAGTTAGAGAAAGGATATGCAAAGTTGCTTGACTGTGCTATTCTTTCAGCTTAAAGGCTTTAGGGTTTTTAGTTAAATTTTAAAAAGAGTGTTTAAAAATGATTAGTAATTGGTTCAAGGCTTGAAATATAAAACAGATTTCCTCCTAACTGGCCTACAGTTTAAAATTAAAGTGAGCTGTACAACTGGTGACAGTTTTGCCTACTTCTTCAAGGTAAACAGTATGTAGAAAGGGTGTGTGTAATACGGTAAAAATGCTACCTTGCAACCCACCAGTTAAAAATTAATTCCATAAAACAGACTGGTGAGTTCTATTTATATCCTGTGTTTTCTTGTTCTCACACTTTCAATACTTAATTGTTTTTCTCATTCAAAAGAACACTTTTATCTGATGACCCGCCCTGTGGCCGGAAGTGGAAGCATGTGCTATCTAGCGATTACACTGTGAAATTGGAGACATGTCTCCTCGATCCTTGCATGGGTCTGCTCTTAAAGCCACAAGAAGCAACTCAGCCCACCAAAGCATACACATCGAGCTACTTGTGCACAATCAGTACTAAAAAATAAGGTAGTGTGTGTTTTTGCTACCTCTGCAGTTATAATCTGGACATGTGGCTCAAACGAAACCAGTAAATAGATGGAAATTACCTGATGACATTGAACTCCCCTGCTACACTTGATCATCCTTAAGGGCTGGAGCGGTGTCTTGTTTATCACTGTAACCCTAGGGCCTAGCACTACAGATGTTTGTGGAATAAATAACTGATGAGAGCAGAAAACAGAAATGTGGGGATACTTGAATTCTGCAGCAAACAAGTCATTCTTTTTATGACATGATATTTGGAGACTAAATAAATTGATATCAAATGCTGGGGAAAATATTACATTATATAGAATTATAAGTGCATAAAATATACAATATACAATAATATAAGTAAAGATTAGATGGTGATATACAAAAATGAAACTAAACAGTTGTGTCACAGTGGTGGAATTTGGAGTAGCATTTTTTTTTTTGAGACTAGTTCTCACTGTGTAGTTCAGGCTGGCCTTGAGTTCACTATGTAGCCCAGTCCAACTCATAGTTCACTTACAGTGATCTTCCTGCCTCAGCCTCCTGAATACTGGGATTACAGATGTGTACCACCATGCTTGACTAGGGTAGCATTTTTAAAATAAAAGTAATTTTAAAATGGATATTATCCCAGAAAGCAAGTAAACTGAAGCTATTTTCAAATATAAAAGAAATAGTACAATATAGAGAATTACTTGATTCTGTTCATGTGGAGTCTAGAGCTAAGGAAGTACATATTTATTCTCCTAGATGGATGAGAGGGGGAAGAGAAATGTTGACCGTAAGGGTATTGGGAACCTACCTCCTTGGAGCCTAGTGCTTTGGCTTTATAAAGCTGAGGCAGGCAGGTGCACAAATGCAAATAGAGTGTTGCTTCCACAGAGAGTATGCACATAGGAGAAGTACAGGGGTCAGCCTGAATGAAAGAAGCACATCTCAAGTGGTCTATTTAGTGCTTGAGAAACTGCAGATCCATTTACTTTAGAGGTCAGAATGGAAACACCCACTTTTGTGCGTGTGAGCTTCCTGCAGATTTGAGTATCCTAAGCTGTGAATATTCACTGCCCCAGATTCAATTCCATTCACTGCACTGCAAGAGATTTAAAGATGATACTCCCTCAATGACTGATGAATAACACTCCTCCTCACTGATAATTATGAAATACAAATTAAATGAAATGAGGTATCATTTTTCACCAAGACAGCACAAAGCATAAAATATTTTAGGAGATAATTTCAGATTCCATATTGCAAATAAAGTCTAAGAAACTGTCACTTTTTACATTCTTAGTGTAGTATCAAAGAAGAATATCTAGAATTATCTGAAAAACAATCAAAATACTCCTTTTTCTGCTACATAGCTGAATGAGGTCAGATTTTTTCATAGAAGTTGACCCAAACAACATATTACGGCAGATTGAATGCAAGAGCAAATGTGAGGATCTGACTGTGTTAAGCCAGACATTAAACAGGTTTGAACAAAATCTACAACAGTGTTTCTATATTACTGGGTGATTTTTGTTTGTTTTAGAGGATATAAGTTTTCACAAAGCTGTATTTATGGTAATATAGAATGGGTTTATTTTAGTAAATTAATAAATACATATTTTAAATTCTCACCATTTCAATTATTAATATGATAAGTCTGAATAGCTATAATCTACTTGTTGTGATCATCAAGAATTTTAAAAGCATAAGGGGTCCTGAGACCACACAGTGTGAGGACCTGCTTCAGGGCTGAGCTGGGGCTGGGAATGTGGCTGAGATGAACAGCTGGCTAGTGAGCTCCAGGACCTGGGTTTGACCTCCACTGCCACAAAGGAATACAAAATAAAACCTATAGCTAGGTGGTTACTTGGTGTTGGATGTTCATGCTCTTGCAGGCTGGCGCTGTCATGGACCCAGGTGTTCCCTGTTTTCCTGCTATGTCTCAGCAGCTTTGGGCAGTTTCCCTCATGAGGCAAATGGCTGCTGCAGGGACAGTTCCTGGCATCACAGGGCTTCAGAGCGAAGAGGCACTACTTACTCTTCCTCAATACTTTAAATATTTTTTTGATATATATAATAATTATATCTATTTATGAGGTACAGTATGGTGTTTTGCTATATTATAAATTGTATAATGATCAAATCATGATAACTGGTAGCTATATCAGTTATCACTTTTCCATGGTGAGGAAATTCAAAATCCCCTCTTCTAACAAAATTTACAAAAACAGAAAACAAAAAATAAAAAAAATCCTCTCCTAGTTATTATATGGTACATGTTATACTGTATATGTTCCATGTCATGGTTTATAGCTAGATGTCCCTCAAGAGTCTTTATTATGTGCTCATAGATGGGATTTTTGGAAGGCGGTTGGACGATGGGGCTTAGAGCTGACTTGCTGGTAGAAGGCTCTGGTAGGAAGAGGTGGGCACAAGGGTGTGTCTGGGCATGGCCTGGAAGAGTCATCTCTCTTCCCAGCTCCTCCCTTCATTCTCTGCTTCCT